GAAATCAAAGTGTGTTCCCTACTACACAATTGTATATATATATATATACATTTTTTTTTGGTCGTCTCTTTTCGACTGCTTGGCTTCTAGCCGTTTTGGCTGCGGAACAACGATGGCAAGGTGGAAGTGACCAGCTTGCCGCAAGATTTCTGTAGTGCTTTGCTAGCCTCATACCCTGCTTTGACGTGAACCGCATGGGCTTTACATTCTTGGCAAAAAAGCTTGGCGCCCACTCGCCGCATTTTGTGACTTTTGTGGCCCATCCATTCATCAGGTGTCCAAGCCTGATTCCAGCACGGCGCTCGTGCTAGCCCTTCCAGCTTGTCCCGTGCAGAATTGCGCAGGACTCTGCTGTGACATCTGCTGCACACCACATAGTGCGTCTGAAGTTCAAAGGAGTGATCCGACATGCCTGGGAAACTGCCATTGGCAAGCTGTTTCAGAAGCTCAGCCTTTGTGGGCTGACTGGTGCTATCACCTCCTTTCACAATGCCTGCTGGTGTGCCGGGCATTCGGTCATCCAACTTCAGTTGCTTGGTGATGTACTTCTGGCGTTTCAAGCACTGTAGGCCCCTGAGCTTTGTTGCCCATTGGTGAGCCTGTTCACCTTGCTGGTTTCCTATGTCCAGGAAAAGCTGGGTCTTTGTGTCCCTGGCCTTTTTGCGGTTCTCTTTGCCAGCTTGCCTAGCTTGGTGGAGAAAATGGTCTTTATCCTCCAACAAGTGTCTGATCCGCTTGACTGCAAGGTGTGCAATCCGGACATAGTCCTGTGGGCATGTCATTGATCTGCTGCTGGGTCAGGCTGAGAGGCCGTATCCTGCATCTTTGATCATGCGTGATGAGCTCATTGAGATCGAAGAAACTCTCTTTGTGTTTTCCATGCACCCATGCCTCCCAGGCTCTTGTTGAAAGCACCTGTACTTTGAGCTGAATCTGCAAGTCCACATAATGGGCTATCATTCGAAGCCCGTAGAACCATGCTCTTTCAAGCGATTGCCGGCCTGGAAGCACTGTCGTCACCGCTCCTTTGCGGTAAAGCTGCCCGTCGATCAAAGTGTGGCGCACGATGGCGACAACGTAGTGCTTCAGGCGAGGGTCACTGCTCGTCAGGCCTAAGCCTATGGTCACCACTTCAGGCCCTTGCAATTTGACCTCGTCGTGAACCGTCCATGAGCCCCAAAACTGGACCGCCGCACCTCCTGTGGACAACTGGTAATGCGGCAACTGTAAGAGGCCCTGGGACCAAAAGTCAAGGTTTACGCCTTGCTCGATTTATTTTTTGTCAGCAGCTTCAAGAGGTGGGAAAGCCTTTGTGTCTCCGGGCACAACCATAGCAGGTGCATGATGGCGGCGGCTTGCTTGCAGTGAGGGCACATGAGGTGACTGGTCTCCTCTCCGTCGGCACACTTGGTGAAGATGGAGCCTTGGTGCCAGGTCTGCAAAGCCACATTCTGCAACTTGTTCAGCTGTCTTGAGAGCCGACGCCATGGCAGCCAGTCCAGTGGCATCTCAACTTCTTGCAAGTGTTGCCTCTGGCTCAACTTCATGACCGTCTCCCACTTTTGGGCCCTTTCCAGCTCTTGCTTCAAGAAAAACAAAAAAGCATACATGTTCAGCTTGAACTCAGGTTCACCATTAGGGGCCGGCTTGGTCCACTCATCATGTTTGTCGGTGCTCCAGCCTCTTTCCATGAGGTAACATTGAAGGGTTTAACAGGACCTTTGGCGTGCTGCCAGGGTACTTTGCCTCTTGGAGTTTGGCTCTCTGAACCTGCCAAGCTCGAGCCAGATCTTTGCCCAAGGCTTCCGGCCAGTTCCCATGGAAACGACGGTAGAGGCGAACCTGATCGGCAAAGGCCCCATAGTCTGGATCTCTGTGTCTTGGTTGCATACTGAAAACAATGTCTGCATTTCCTGTTCTGTGCATTCCCATCTGCCGACACATTGTTGCTCTGAGCTTCTTCCTCACCTGGGGGGCCAGCCCCATGGCCTCGTGCCCCCAATTTATGCCAGCTAGGATGCTCCCTTTGTACAACTTCAAGCGTATGGCCTGGTTGGGGATCTTCAAAGTGTTCAACTTCACCGATTTTCTGGCTGCCTTTCTGCGGCGGCCCTTGATCGACTGAAGCCTTCTGAGACGGCCAGCTGCGCAGTCGATGCCAAGATCTCTCATCACGTCGTGAACTTTTGGTCCCCCTTCACTGAGTTGTTCATGTAGAATCCTCTCGGCAGTGGCATTCGAGACAATGAACCCAGTCTTCTGAGCTGAAACCTTGAGATTGTCTTTCTCAAGCTCTTTTTTGACAAACTCATAGGCTTGTATTGCTCGGGCAGCATTGTGAGGGTTGCGGTCAACGACATCAAAACTGAAATCGTCGATCCATAGATCTGAGTGCAGCTGCGGGTACTTCTTGTGGAATTCTCTGAGGGCTCTTTGAAGGTACACCTTAGTTGCCAAAGGTGCTTGAGGGTCTCCAGCCAAAATGCCATGCGTTGCCCACAATGGCTGTGAGGCTTCACCTTCAGCTTCAAGGATCCTCTGTCCACTGTAGACTTGAACCGCAAGCGCTGCATGAGCCGCAGGATAACTGGAATCCAACCATCTTTATGCCAGCTTAACCAGATCAATTCGGTCGTAGAAGTCGGACATGTCAAGAAGAACAGAGATGACAGTTCTGTTGTGTGCTGCATGGTATTCCGTCATGAAGGATCGTTTGAGGGCTACTTGCAAACACTCGGTTCCAGGAACTGCACGCTCCCACGGGTATTCCTGCTGTATATTGCTGGCCCAGCGCTTGGTTTGATCACTTCGGACCCGGCACCAAAGGCGGTAGAGAGTGGCTACCAGTGCTATTGGCCTCTCTATGATGGCTGACTTGGGCAGCAAAGCGATCAATGAGGTCTTCAATTGATTTGGGATCATGGCCTGCTCTTCAATGGTTTGAAAGAGGTCTCGAAGGTCCTTCATTGCTGCATCTGGCAAAGCTTTCAGGAAATCAAAACCAATCCCGTCAAGCCCAGCCGCCTTCAAACTGAGTGACTTGATGGTGCGCCAGATGTGGCCTTCACTGAGGTGAGGCAGTGCTTTACCCTCCTGTTGTCCTTTGTGGATAAGGCTTTCCAGGCAGCCAATCAAGACTGGAGCTTCCTGGATCTGCCATATGCTGCCCCGTTGCTCTACTCGCTTTGGCATGCGCTGAAGCCGCGGTAGGTGCTGGAAAGGCCTCATATATGGAAGTTCATCACGCTTCAAAGTCCGAAAAAGCCCTCTGCAGCCTTTCTGAGTTGCTTGAGCCAGCCACTGTCTGTATTCTTCTGTTTCATTCTGTGAGCCAGTGGCCTGATGCAGCTCTCGCTGAGTCTTGACTTCATTGAGCAGCACATGAATGTGATCTGAACTGTGGTTGTACCAAAGCATCTCAAACAGGTTTTTGAATCCATCACTCTTGGTCTTGGAGTCCGAACGCCAATGCGCCTCAATGTGCCAACCCAGTTTTTGGAGGTGGCTTTGATGCCGCGGTTCGCGGTTCTGCGCTTGAACAAGCTGTTGGAGGCGAACTTCGATCTGCCTAGGCTGCCCCTCTCCCAGAGCCATGGTTTGCTTGCATCATGCAAAGGTCTTTGGACAAACTGCAAGGTCACTCCCCTCCCCAAAGTTGGCGTATCCAGCTGTTGCAGCACATACCGCTCAATGCGACTGCAAAGATTGCCGGCTTGCTGAGTGAGAGGATCTGTCTGTCGGTTGAGCCGTTGCACCTCTGCGTCGCGCTCATCTATTTGATGCCATTCATAGGCTGGGTTCTTGAGCTGAGGTGCAGGTCCGAACTTGCTGAGCTGTCTGACCGTCAGGTCCTGGAAATGCCCGGCTATCTTGAACTGCAGCATAGCATGCGGCTTGAAAGGAACTATCCAATTTGACTGCACCACAACATCAGCAGCCAAGGATGTTGAGATCAGAGCCCAATCGATCTCACTGCCTGTGTTGCATGCGGCTTCTCCCGTTGCAAGTACCTGCACCTGCATGACCTGAGCCATAGTGGTCGTCATGAAAGCTCCCGGATCTAAGTTGAAGTCTCCAGCAACAATCACCGGCTTGTGCACACTTGTGACAAAAGACATCAAGCCAGCCCACAACTGTGAATTCGTCGGTCCTTGAACACCTTCTCCACACTTGAAGTAGGCAAAAACAAGAATGATTTCACAGTTTTCAAAGGACCAGACCACTCCATACCAGCCACATCCTTCAATGATCTGCTTCTGAACAAAGTGGAAATGGAGGTTGTGCGGGAAGATGATCATCACCCCCCATTGGCGCCACCTTTCGTGCTCTCTGCGGCCGGTTCTCCCAGTGTGCTGAGCCCCCTGGTAGTGAGCCACTGCATGGTTTTCTCATGGTCTTGCTTGCCCAGATGTGTCTCAACAATGCAGATTGGCTGCCGCGGTCTAGTGAGCAGCCATTGTCTCACGCCCTGTCCAAGCTGTGTCACATTGGCAAAATCAAATTTCACGCACTCCTGACGTTGTCTCTTGGCCGGTGCCTCTCCTAGAGGTTGCTCAGGCTCCATCGTGACATCACAAGGGATGTCTGTCGGCAGCAAACATTCTGAGGGTATGGCCCAAACTTGGACTATCTGCTGTTGTGCCTGCTTGAGAACTTGTGGCATCACTCTAGGATAGGCTCCATCATCGACTATCCAGCTGAGACCTCTATACAGGAAAACAGCGTAGTAGTGCCCACTATTGTGTGTGCTACCTGCATGACACAAATAACCAATGACCGAAAACTGCCTGGTACAGGTGGCATCCCCATCCAGCGTGATTGGCAGGTTGAAAATGGAAGGAACGCGCAAAGCCCGATGATGTTTTGTCCATTCACCA